TTAAGAAGTATCCTTCAAAATCCTATTATAGTGGCTGCATACTCCTATAAACAATGAGCATGTATATTTTGGCATACCTTTTCCAATGTTTCTCTTAAAATTAAAAAAATTCTATGCAGAAGTATGCTAGTCAGTAGAGCATGTGCCTCTTGATCTCAGGATTATAAATTCAAACCCCATGTTAGGTGTAGAGATTACTTAATTAATAAAATTTTTAAAAATTCTATGCAAAATTATTCATCAAAAATATTATCTCTTAAATTATTATTTTATAATTATTAGAGGAGTCAAATTTTTCATATGGTTAATTGATATTGCACCTCTTTTTAAAATTAACTGTACATTTACTTTATTGCAGATTTCTTTAGCTTACTTTTAAATTTTAGATTAAGCTTTTTCTTAGTCTACCTTTTAATTTTTGCAAAAGTTAATTATGTCAAGTATTTATTTCAGAGAATCTATATTATGTCTGGGAAAAAACAATTTATATCAAATGCAAATATACAGAAGATCCCAATAAAATGCACATGTATTTTCAATTACATATAAACAAGTAAAATTGAGCGATATGACCTACTCAGTTAACTTAAAATCACAGATGCTTGAAGTATTAACACTACCACCAAAGCATTGCTACCAACCCAAGCTAGTATCTAAAAGATGTGTACAATTTTCTGAAGCATTGTGTCCTTTAAAAATGTGTGCAAATCTAAAGTACTATTAAAAAATAAAAACAAAACTGAGCAGGTATTAATTTTCAAGTGGAATTGAACAATGTAGAGTATATACTGACTTTAATATCATATTATATACACATATTCACACGTATATATGCATATATGGGTTGAAGATGACTATGACACTCTTACTCCAGTGAAAATTACATCTCAAGACTGCTTTTTTTAAAATTTCACCTTTTGAAAAACTTTTAGATCCATGAATAGTTAAATGGAACCTTAAGCCCTGTAAAGGATTAACAGAGTGGAACGATTCACATGGTTGAAGGTCAATGTTGAATTTATTTATCAGCTTGTACATTTAGTAAATTGTTTTTGAGCCCCTTTAATTGCAAGGTGCAGTACCAGCTCTGAGACCTGAAGGGCTGTGAATTAGAACAGACGGCATCTCTAGGTGGAGATCACATGTTTTTAGTAGCGTGTCTAGTTCGTGTTTATATAAATGTCTCCAGTTGTTTTCATCGCATTCGTAGCAATGAGTCTATATTTCCACCAAGACTGGTAGGTAAAGTTTCTTTCATCTTTTCCCCATCTCTTATTAATACCCTGCGGAATCAGGATCCATATCCATGGGTGAAGTTCACAGATGGGATTTCATATCTGTGATTGGCAGTCTAAATGAGATTCAGGGTCAGAGCTAGAGAATCAAATGAAAAGTCAGGGGATAATGGCCAGTTGTGCTTCTCATTCTCTTTCTTCCCTGCTTTCGGGCAGAAACACACTCCAGTGGCTGTCACTCACTCATTACTAGGGCTGTCTCTGCCCAGGCTGGGAGTGACACAGCAGGATATTGCTGTCTGAATTGCTAAGTATCCCTTAGGCAAAGACAATAATTAAAATATTCAGATTTCAAAATGGTAATTCTTTTGGCCTAGCACGGGGATATAAGTGGATAAGAATACAGAATAAATTGTAAGTACTGCGCCACGCCAAATGAAGCATGTCTTCCTTTTGTCATTTAGTTCTTTCTGCCACTTCTCTGTAATATGGCCATGTGCATGCATATTAATATGTGGCATATTTACATACATGTACAGTATATAATTTTAATGTGCATTGTTATGTATCAGAGAAAGATAGCTTTGTAATAGTTGCTGTTGACTAACTGTTCCGAAGCACTTGCTAGACATAATATCTCTGAGGTCAAAATAAATATAATTTGTTCTTTTCGCATTTGTAGGTGTGGGAGCAGTTAAATGAGGCTGAATTAATATTTGTAGAATTTCTCCTTTAGCCTAACACAGGGCTAATATTGTCACTTCATTTCATTGAATTCTCACAAAAGTTTACTCTATCAGTATTATTATATCTAAAGCCTAATTAAAAACACTGATTTCCAGAAGTTATATAATTTCCCAGAAATCAAACAGCCAGTACAAGGTAAAATTAAGATTTTAGCTGGGTTTTCTCTGACTCCTAAACCTATGCTTTTTCAGATATGAGTTGCTTAAAGTGATGATGGACCGAGGATGGACCTATAGGTGTAAGAGGGTCAATGTTTCCCAAACAGTGAGGTGTTCTTTATAGTATGGGAAGGCTAGCCTTGTTTAGTCAAGAATTTATAAACATTAAGAAACCAATTTTTTTTAAAGATTTCATTTATTTATTTGAGAGACTGAGCAAATGAGAGAGAAAGCACAAGCAGGGGGAGGGGCAGAAGGAGAGGCAGAAGCAGACTCCCCTGCTGATCAGGGAGCCTGACTCGGGGCTTGATCCCAGGACCCGGGGATCATGACCTGAGCCGGAGGCAGACGCTTAACCGACTGAGCCACCCAGGCGCCCCAAGAAACCAATATGATGTGGTTCCTTGTCCCCCCCTCTTACTCCCATCCAGTTGTATTAAAATATACAACACCAATTCTACTTGTTCATATGATTGGCTTAAAGTTATTTCACTTCTTTGACCTTTCACAAGTTCTATAAATTTACATCAGTGGTAGAAGAGTTGTATTTCTCAACCTAGGACAATTGTATGGAATTCAGAGGTGACAGATTCAAATGCCTATGGCTTTCACACCTATGTGCAGATTAGGTCGGACGGGAAAGAATAGTGAGTGGTGGGGTGGGCCTGTTATGAATTGGAGCCTGTAATGTAAGTTCCTCATGAAGGTGTTTAGATCCAGTTAGAAACAAACATAGAATGTCTTATTTGTTTCAGAGGTACAGGTCTGTGATTCAACAGTCTTGCACAATTCACAGCGCTCACCATAGC